TTAAAAATATATATTAAAATTATCCGTCAATCACAATATAAAATAATTAAAATGATATTTTAACCTTTAATTATTTTATATTGTGATTGACGGATAATTTTAATATATATTTTTAATACTATAAATCACAATATGACGCATCTACAATATCTTACGAGATACTTTGTAAAACGTTATAAACAATTGTAAAAAAAATTCACTTTTTGACTTGCTGGTATCAAAATCGGCGTTATTCTGAACCGGCGCAAATCGAGGGCAACCTGTAATTGGTTTTGATGCTAGTTTATCTGTTAACATTAAATTCTTTCATCTCCCTTGGTTCGTTCTGATGTGTCTGGTGGTAGCTACGAGACTGGAACGGTTTGATACAAACCGCTATCTCGTCATTTGATCATTGTTCAGCAACCTTTTTTTACCATCCTCTTACTTCGTCTGTCGTCCGTCCGGACACTCACCTCAGCAGTTGTCACACCCACGTAAAAGAACAGGTAAAATTATAAATTCGTATATTTAATGTTAGGTTTATCGAAAATGCAAAATATTCTGAACTGACTGAAAGCAAGCAGTCCCTGTATTCGATCTACTCTTAATTTTCTCTTCAGTATGATTTTAATTTGTTGCTGTTGTTTCGAATGAACGTCTTTTAACGTATACCACATTTCGTAAGGATTTTACGAGTATTAGCTACCTTTGTATTTACTCCTGTATTCTGGTGACCAGACATTAACACACATTAAATAATTTTTAGGATAATCCAAAAACAACGGCGGTCTCTGGATACATTTTGTTGTGTTTCTTTTTGAGAAGTCAGTGAAATCTGACGTCTGAGATCTGTTGGTCACATATACATCCAAAGTCGTAAAACCTCCTGGTGTCTTATACTTCGGAACGTTATAAATAACGTCAACAGCAAGTTCTTCTGTTGCTTGTTACTGAACGCTATATGTACTAACGATTGTTTGCGACTGTATGAGACAGAATTGTTGTCAACTCAGAGGAGTCTGTCCTTGCCTTCTTTAATTAACCACGTAGTTGCTGATACTATGAGGGTGATTACAGTTATTCCCTGGAATCACGTACACACGTGCACACTCAGCGCGTTTTATAGCTGACACCGCCGTCTTAACATGTGTTGCAAAGAACTTCAGGTGATGCCCGAAAGTTCACTTTTAACCCTTTCTGTGCTATGCAAGAAACATCTTGAACCGCCCGTTAGTTTTTCGTCTCCATATGGGCACACTTGAAGGTAGAAATCTTACGTTAACAAGTAGGACTGTAGGTGCTAACAGTGGATTTCTGTAAATAAATCACGGAAATTCTGCATTCCCATTGTACGTGTTTGTAGTTCTGCAAATTTTCGTGTGGGTTTTGAGATTTCCGTGGCTGTGACGATGTTCATGTTCTTTTGGGTTATGGCGCCGTGTGGACTGGCCAGTAGATACCAATATTTCGAAGAAGCGTTGTCTCCATCTTCAGGGCTGCCGATGGAGACATCGTCTATCGACCAGTCGACATGGCGCCAGATCCCAAAAGAAGTAATCAACAGATGTTATGTCTGTTAATGTGATATTTAGGTACTGGTAATGTAAATTTATAGTCAGCAGTGAAATTCAATGACAGTCACGCGACTGAAGTGACCAGTGCAGAATTTGTGGCCAAATTCAGTTTTACGTTGTTTAATATGCAGTATAGAATATCGTTCATCGTTGGTGGAAGAATGTTGTGGCTAAATACACTATTTAACGCTGCTGCAGTGAAAACATAGCATGCGTTGTGGCTTTACGCTGTAACGAGGTGAATCTAAGAGTCGCCTCGCTTTTCTGGAAACAGTTGAGTGTTCTAAGCGTATAGCCAATCTCTTCGGCGGTCGTCCCTTGTTTCAATCGGTCTGAACTAATTTGGGAAGTCCGTCTGTATTCTATAAGCGTGGTAAATCCTTCTTTTCCTCTAGTCCAAAGATTTTGGTCAGTGCTATTCGTTTTCCAGTTAAATCTGCCATGTTTGTTTCCGCGCGTGTTTTGGTTTCACTTGACTTGGCTTGTATGTGAACGTTTTACTACTTTAAACGAACATGGGAGAACTATTGTACTTTGTATTATAATTCTTGAGTTGTTTCAAATTACATCATTCCCTTGAACAGTCACAAAACAGTGAAGATGTAATAATAAAATCCTTGAACATATTTATGTTTCGGGCCTGTTCGCGTTTGACACAGATAGTCACGTCTTGTGAAAAGTGTTACTCTTTTATTTCGTATTTGATCTTCTCTGGTCGTCTATTTCGTCTTCCTTCCGAAGGCCACATTTACTGACGAAAATATTACTCTTTTATTTCGTATTTGATCTTCTGTGGTCGTCTATTTCGTCTTCCTTCCTAAGGCCACATTTACTGACGAAAATAGTCGTCTTCATTCAATCCTAGTTTTAGTTTAGGCTAAATTATGTGTTATGTAATGCGAAGATTCGCCCCTTTCAACAACACAAAGCCTGCATTTGGAGTCTATCGTAGCACCTTCGTGCTGGGATCTTATCATGCACGACTCTTGTGGTCCATGCAATTCCTCTCTGCGGGAAAGACGCCAAGTCACGACAGAATGTCACTGTCTCCGACGGTCTTTGACTGCGGTGTGCAGCACTAGGAAACAGGTAGAAACAAGAAAGGCACAAAGAAAGCATGGAAACAACAGAGAAAAACAAAAATAGATACAAAATAATAAATCAGTTGACGAAAGACAGAGGAAACCTAGCTCGTGTTTCTGTAGTTTTACTCAGTCTCTCCACGCGAATAACGTAACACTGCTACCTTCAAACAACAGATGCTACAGAAACAGTTTAGTTGATACAGCTTCGTTAAATAATGCATCAGCTAATGAAACGTACCCGAAACTGTGGCGCTCAGAGGTCGTGGACTGGGTGTGTTTCCTCCTCCGGACACTTGGCTGGACTGACGTCTGAAACAGGCGAAAGGAAAACTTAAGCGTGCGTTACATCATCGCCGTGCTGTGGAGTAGCGTGGGTTGCATGGGGATAAAGCTGGACACAGCTGTTGTGAAGAGAGACCCTCCCCCCCCTGCCTCTGTCAGGAATTGAATCTCGGTCAGCGCCCTCTTGTAACCACAAAAGTTGCTCGTTCGGTGTGTACGACGAGACTCCTCGTTACCGTTAAATTCCTCCCTGACCTTGCCCTACTGCGCCCATTACCTTGTAATTCCTTTTTAAGTCGATTGCATTTGTAAGGAAAATTACAGAGGAGAGATATTGCCTTGCAGTGTAACCGATGTGCGTCGAAAGGAGACAGACATATTTTCCTTTTTGCCACATATTCCAGTTCACCGTGTACCTCACAGCGTTCGACGATAAATAGTATCTGTACTTGATACAGCGTAGTTAATTACACCTTAAAAGTTCACATCATCACCATCTCATTTGACGGTGAATAACCTCCATAGTTGATACAGCTTATTTATATGACATTCGAAAGTTACAATGACGGGAGGTAATGGTTTCTGCACATTAGTCACTTTGATCCTCTACGATTTGAGCTTTGTTTAATAAATGTATCGTATTTTATTTTAAGATAAGTTATTCATATTTTAATTGAATAAAAATTTCCTTGGATATTATCCATCGTCTATTAAATATAAAACGTAAAACGACATTTCGGAGATGGGACTCTATCTCCGTCTTCAGGTTCCTACACAGTTGGGCCCACTAGATAGAGCAAATCCCTATCTCCGGACAAAGTAAAAAAGTGAAAGCCATCTCCGAAACGTCGTTTTTTACGTTTTATATTTACTAGACGATGGATAATATCCAAGGAAATTTTTATTCAATTGACTCTTCACCATCGTCAAGAAGTTTTAGATTTGATATTCATATTTTAACCTCGCATATTTGTTTAATAAAACTCAGAATAATTTCCAGTGACTAAACGACACAAAACACATCTCTTAAATTTTCAGAGAGTCAGTATATTAAGTATATTATGACCGATAAAGATCGAAATTATTAATAACATTTGGTTACTATTTCGAAGTAAGATAACTTGTTCTTAGTCACAAGGTCCAGGGAATGGAGAGAATTATGGAGTCTGGTTTGTGAGTGTGGGTAATCAATATAACGTGTGATTACCATATTAGGCTCAACTCTTGTTCTTGCTGGACTCGGCGCCATAATGACATCACGCTCTAAGGTTACTTGTTACGAACACTTATGAGTACCGCCATCATTAATGCGTGTGTAGTCTAGCCTAGCCGGCTGAGTCTTGAGTTCCAAACATATTTGTAATTCGAGAAACGTTTTAATGTCCAATATTATTTTGCTTTGGTTTCTCGTTGTCCGAAAAATTCAACCATTGTTTCACGTGTTTGGTTACCTGTAGGTAATGGAGATCGTTATGAACATAATACGGAAGAACAAATAGACCCTTGGGCACAGGGGGGCATTAAAAAAGTTAGGTTTTATTTACTCTGTCTGCTCTACGTTTATGCAGTTGTCTCAGTGTGAGAGCGAATTCCAGTTTTGTAGTGAGTAAATCAAAGCGGAAGTCACACAGATCTAACCTAACCTTGCTCTCTTATTTCTAAATGTATTCCTGGATAAGAGTGACTTATTTTCTGGATTTTAGAAGAGGCCATTGGTTCCTTTCAAAGTACTAGTGAGCTGGCGGTAATGGTAATAATCTTAAGTAAATTAAGAAGAATTTTACGGCAATTGGTACAGCGGATTCACAAAACACTTGATAAGCGTTTAAGAAAATTGCTATGCATACAGAAATTAAGATCAACAACGGAAGGGTTGCAGATGCCCTAATACCAGTTTGCATCCTCAAAAAGTTTAGCTGAAACTTTTTTTATAATTATTTTCCCATATGCGACTCGATCGAAGGCCGCGGTATATTCGGAAACACTTCAGTTTCCGAATCAAGAAATCCTTGATTTCATTATCGACCCAGATACTAGGCTTTCTCAATTTTCCTCAGTCTCTTCAGACAAGTATTGGGAGAGCGAATTCAAACGGCATGTCCGCTTCTTTCCTAGTCTTTTTTCACATTGAATAACACCGCACAAGTTCGCATTGCCGCCATATTGGTATCTCTAGACCTACCATGATATGGAAGTGTCAGCATCATTACGTAGTCTCTACATTGCTGATGTAATATAGTTGTAACAATTCCTACGGAAGGACAGACAGACACATGCATCTCGATAATAAGATCCAGGAAAACGGTTTCCTCTATTCTGAACCCTAAAACCGATATGGGTTATTTATACATCGTTTTGTATTTTTCCTTCTTTCTTTTCAGAAGGTAAAATACTGTCGTCTGCCCCACTTTGCTGATGAAGCCAGACTGAGAGTATTGTAGGCATAAGAAAGTCGAGACGGTGGCCTATTTTAAACTACTATCCCAACATTTGCGTGGCAGATCTTAGTAATCTACAGCTCGCCCGAAGATCGAAGTATAGACATCTGAATGGAACTGTTCACTGCACAACTTCCGATGGTAAGTTTTACTGCATTTGATTTCTACTGATCAAATATTTCTTGTTTCTTGTTTCCATTTTTAATATTGTAATTTCCATCGTAACAATTACTCTTTTTTAATGTTTTGTATTCGAAGGGAGCTGGAACAAGCGACATTATTTTTTTATTTTGATATAGCCAAGAAAAATGTAAAGAGATCGTAGTATATCAGTCACTGAAATGACAATATCTGCTTCAGATCAAACCTAACACGACACTGAAACTTTGGGCAATTATAGAGGAAGATAAGTAAAGAATACAAACCGAAAAAATGCAGTCCCTTAGAAATATTCTGAGTATTCATTTACATGAAAATTCTGTGTCGAAAAAATAAGACTTGTGTGTGACTGTAATTGTGTGTTCGGAATTTTGAATGGTCTGATGTTCGGTCGTCGTACAAATGTGGCGGCAACCCTGACCTACAAAGTAGACTGCATTTATCCGATGTATAATCTAGCAGTTTAATTTCTATTATTTTACGATAATGACCATGCAAGTGTCCCAAAAAAAGATGTATAATACACAGCAGAAATTTTGGTGGCCGCTTGTCAGTCAGTTGTTCACCTGTCAACCGTGCCACGAAGTTAAGTGGCCATTTTTAACACCTACACTAGATTCGCCAATTCACAGTGCCATTGCTGATGTAATTATTTAGTTTATTAAAATGTCTTTATTTCATTCATTGAATGTGTATACACCTTTTTGGGACACACTGTACTAGAAGCAAGTACGTACGCCCATGGTATGATATAGAGAAAGAGGACAGGTAGAAACATAACCCATTACCCTTCCCATAAAAGCGTTTTCGAAACGTAGAAAAGAGGTTACGTGGCCAAAGAATTTTTTTTTCAGAAATTGCAAAACTGCTTCAAAACGAATTATCACCAAGATTCGATGATGTCAGTACCATTCCGGTGAAGTTCTTAAGTTTCAAAACCATTTCAAAGTAAACATCAATGACGTCAGTGAACTTCAGAAGAAAGTGATTTAACTACGACCAGTGATTCTTTAAAAAAATGTCTTCGAACCGTCAGATCTGTGGACGTCGCTCGATGCACGTGGTTTAAATTATTACGTTTTATAACCTATGTATGGGTAGTAAACATTTTAAATTTGTTAGTTCGGTTTAAGATTTAAACCGTCTCTTTACGATGTCGTCATCGATATTTTTACATAAGTCGATTATGTTTGAAGTACTGCTATGATACCTCCGTGCTATTAAAACATTTCGTGTATTAATATTGTGGTCTTAAAAGTTTATCTTCCCTCCCTTTACGTACTTTAATACATTTGGCAATTTAACTTCTATTGAATCATTCTCTGTGACTGCTAAATTAGTTAATACAGTAGAGTCCGGATTTTCCGACCTTCGGTCATTCGACATTCAGTTTATCCATTACTAATTTATTAAAAACTAACTCACTTACAAATATACAACATATTAAAAATTATTTTTGGGGAGATTTTTCATTTAATTCCGTATTTTCTTCGTAATTTAATAACATCGTAAATTGAGTTGATATTTACCCTCGTCTTTCATTAGTGTTCCGTATTATCCGACAGTCCTTCGGTCCGTTTAGGTCGAATAATGTGACTCTACTGTGATTATTCACATCGTTTGACATTTAAAATAATTAGTTTATAACAAAAGATGCAAGAGAGAGACTCCAAGGTCCGCAAATAATATTTTCACGTTGACGTACGGCAAAAATCAATTTATCATCCACGGCCATCGTGCTATTATTTGACACTACATAACTTATGCAGCTGTCAAAGTGTCGTTAAACATGTATAAGAAATACACAAAGAGGACACAATAAATGTTGTGGAAATGAGATACATAATCTGCATAGATAATTAATTGGCTTACTTACGATAATAAAACATGAAACAGTCGACAACTACGTACGTCAATTTTGCATTATTTGAATTAGTCTGCTGTAACTATACCCCCCCCTCCCCAAAAAAAATATGGGCTGTATTTTTCTCTTTTCCATCTACACTGAACCTGTATTCTTACTAATTTAAAACAGGTAACCAAGATAAATGTCTAATAAGAAATCTGTTCTTCATTTTGTTTGCGATGTGAATGTTTTTAACTCAGCAAAATCAATTAATGTATTCGTCTTTAAAGGTTACTGAGTGGTCATTCCGGTGGCACAAGTGATAATGATTACTGTACACACCTCTGAGACGCAGTTATACCTACCAGCAGCCTGAATAACTTCCAAAGACCTTGTACACGTCATGAACCGTCTTCTGTTCTTGTGATTCATTCCTGTTGAAGGCCTCTTTTTAAGTTTCGTCTTGCATTATGAACGTTTGGATCCCCAAGTAAAAATAGGTTCTCAATGGAAATTTTTCAGACAACGTTCCCTTAACCGCTGTTGCCCAAGGTAAGAAGGAAAGAATCTATGGCCCTGCTTTC